AGAAAGCACTGCCACGGTTGGAAATTGCACCCGCCAAAACGGGCCTGGTACCAGCTCGTCGTCGCACCGGTGTGGACGGCCAGAATCCCGAACAATAGCGCGGTACCTGTCCGGCGTTACGAGTTTTGTCAAGCTTGGCGGTGCACCCACAGCCGCCCTCCACCGACCTTAAACACCCGTCAGGTACCGCCCCAACACGTCCCGACACACGTTCAACTTCGGGCGGGCCAGGGGTAAAACCAGTGACCTTCCGCTCCATTGGCCAGCGCCCCACCGGCCCACGCTACGGGTGATTTTTTTTTAGATGCTTGGTGCGGCGGCGAAAACGGGCGGCGGGTACCTCGCAAGTACCTACCGCCCGTTTCTTCCAATCCAACCTCGCCCTGGACTGGACTCTCTTCTTTGTCCTTCTGCACCTGTCGATCCATCGCCATGGCTCAGATTGCCGTGAAAGCAAAAGCTGGTCGAGCTCATTGCCGAAGGTGGCGGAGGCATGCCGTGCAACGACGCCAGAGGTTTTGCGATTCAGCGCCGGTGGCGTGCATTCATTCACGTTGGTTGTTTACACCCGACATCATTTCAGTAGACTCATGCCTGCATGGGCTCGTACTGACAACGACAGCCCAACAACGCGCATGAGGATTCCTTGGGTGCAATTTCACTCAGTGCCCAATCGTAGTCGACCGCGTGAGCTTCGTATTACGCACTGGTTCGATAAATCCGCATGCCGCCACAGGCAAGTTAAAGCACCTGTAAGCAGTAAGAGCTCACGGCATCTCAGCTAATGCATCCCGCACAGCACGGGTTGTCGCCTGATTCCACGGAAGCTTGTTCATGTACGGTAGAGAACAGAACAGAACAGAACAGCATTGATCATCGTACAGTAGCATTTCGAAAATGCCTCGCTCTCGCCGTGGATTCCGGCACCCGTCTGGCGGTGGAGAGAAAAGCGTTCCTGGAGCTGCCCGTCCAAGTTTTTGTTTCGCTGCCTTGATTCCCACGAACAGGGGGGGGGCCAGCTCGGTGATGTGCGACAACTTACTGTACAAGTGACTTGCCAGATACCTTCGCACCCTGAACGAGCACCCGCGCGAACCCCTGGCGCCCGGAAGGGTTCCTGGACCAATGGCAAGGGCGCTAGGAGCCCTAGCTCGTCTCGGGGCAGGATTGGCGTCGTGCCTTTAATATTAACGACCAGGGGGGCAGCGGGCAAAGTACTCTTGCGCTGTAAATTGCGTGGCGAGGTACTTGTTTTTTCGCGGTCCTACTCCAGTCATGGCCCACGATATCCTCTTCAGCACGCACCACTTTTTTCTATCCCGTTTCTTCAGTCTTTTTTTCTTTTCTTTTCTTTTCTGCAGGTGGTTTATCGTTTTCCGTTCAGGTGTTGCGTACTGTACACTCCCACCGCGGCTGCTTCAGGCTCGCCGCTGGCATGAAATCGCGTCTTTTCCTGCAAGCCATTAGCTGTCACCGGGCTTAGCGTCGACGGCTCAATAGTTCCTGGCGCTAAAGATTTCCCATGAGAGCAAACGAGGCTCGACGCGCGCCATCGACAATGATTCAGATGCTGCGATGGAATCCTGCCTGTGTCCTTGCTGTACTTGTGGCACTCACATGCCTAGTGCAGGTATGCTCTACATGATGATGGGTGTCCGGCATGGAGCTGTTACAGGTACTCGCTACACCTTTTCCCAGGAGCGTAGATCAATTACTTCTATCAGATATAGTATGTAGTAGTCATTTCCAAGGAAGCGAGCCGCTAAAAGCAGATAATTCATGCAAATCAGATCATCCGGCACCTTCCAGACCAGCGGATAATCAAAAGACATGCACAGCAAAATCAGCTCATTTAGATGGCTTGGATGGCTTATGTAACTAAACGACTTGCTTGGCCCAATAACGGCCCCCAATGGCAGCAGTGTAACGAACGCGCTGCTGCGGTTTATTACTCGTTGCTTGGTGTTTAATGAGATTGGCGCATAGTACAGTAGGCATATGCATCCATTCGCTCGATATTACTTACCTACTAGTAGTATATCGCACTGCTGCAGGCTCACTCACACACTCTCGACCCGTCCCAGAAATGCATGTCGAATGCACGTGCGGCCCTGTTGTTGGCCCTCTGGTCGTCAAAGCGCTCAGAAACGGCAATGGCCGTACCGTAACGTATGCAGCCCACCGCCTCCGTACGGAGCTTCAAGTTTCAATCAAATCTTTTTTTGCCTCGCGGCAAAGGCGTGAGATTACGGGGCGCTGCCAAGCTGCCGCTATTGGTACGAGTACACGCGCACCGTCGACACCGCAGACGCTCATTTCAACGGTACATCGCGCTTGTACTTGTACTCTGCTGGAATGCGTGCCGACTCAGTCTGTAACAAGCCCTTTTTTTTTTCGTTTCTTGGTTTCTTCTTGTTTGAATGATCATCCCGCTGCGCTGAAGAATCCGTAGTCTCAGACCATCGACGGTGGGTGCCCAATGTTTTTGTTTCATCGAGGCTGAAGCCTCTCCTCAAACCGAGACATGGATTGGCCTCCTTTTTTTTCCAGGCATGCGATGCTACTCTAGTCTGCCGTAATCGACCGTAATGCAAATACGAGGAACACGCTCCCACATGCCGGACAAGCTGTACTTGTAGTAGCTCCATCCGTAACGAATACTAGTGCCAGTCGACGTGTTCTCAAAGGGAACGCTCATTGCGTTTCGACCTCGACCGTGCAAGGCTGGGGAGCTGTATGCCCTTGAGCTCAACTGTCAGAGGGCGAAAGAGCCTCAGCCTTGTCAGCTCGGCGTCGTCACTTGCCGTCATCCGCATCCCGAACCGTAATGCTCCGTATATGCCGTCACAGCATCTTCGTTTGTCATGTACTTGCACCTATTTTGGAGTTATTCCACGACGCACCTTCGGTGTAGGTGATAGTAGCAGCTAGAAAAATAGGAGGCATTAGTAGTAAATCACATGATATCACAAGACTACTACGAAGGATACGAGCCATGCTAACGCAGATTGACCATCACCGCCTAGCTTTAGAGTAAAGTCTTGGCAGATCCTTCACTGGTGCGCAGCAGCGCGAACCGGCGATGAATCACTACCGTTCAAGTGCACAGGGACGCAGGGGAAATGTCCTTTTGAGACTAGAAGCATGTTCTAACACAACTTCGGGTACAAAATGAGGAGGAAATACGAGTAGTATATCACAGGGACTACAAAGATTGATTAGTTCATTTCTAAACAGTGAGTGCTATTGCGAAACGGCGACTTAGTCTCAGTCTGGCTTGTTGATGTGGTCAGGATTGAGTGGCTTGAAGACTCGATGCCTCCCCAATGTTTCTCTCATCCACCTTCCAGTGGTCTGAGTCGCGTCCTAGATTGACGTCATTTGTAGAATATGTAACGGTCTATACTATATATTTCACCTTGTATGCGTAGAAACTACTGTTATGTTTACTGTCTGTGTTTGCCATCTTGCCCAACAAATCGCGAGATGGAATGTCGAGCAGAATGCATGCCGAGAGGAAGGCTGTGCAATACCTGGATATTGGCAGGTTTCCGTGTATTGCTGACTACACGCTTGTTGTGTTTCCCGTCCCTCTCACTGTAATCATGACATAAACATCTGATATGCCCCCTTTCTAGTCCTATACGCGGCCAATGATGTGGCAGTTTGAGCAATAATGACAAGTATGGCGGCCTCTTGTTTTGTTTCAGGCTCCTTCAATCGTTGTAGAATCGAACTACTAGCCGCGAATCTATATGTTATCATGATGGGAACTACTTGTCGCTGAATTTAGAGTCTGTCTACCAGTAACCCAAGTTTGGTCGTCAGACACTTGTCAGTCGTATAGTTCAGGGAAGTGATACGTGGTCAACAATGAGAGTGTCATCCCAGCGCGTAATTCTGTTTATGGTGGTAAGTCTATACAAATTGTTGGCTATTCAACTTCCTCGGAGCTGCATGAAGTTTAAGTGCAGTAGCCACAAAATACCATTCATCTAATACAAGATACCTGGTTCTTCGAGTACCTGTTTCTCTCGTTGCCCTCTCCCAACATTGCTACTTCCTTCTACTTTTCTTGCATTATCTACTACCTAGGTACCAAATTTGGGATGCGAGATGCCAGATGACCATCTCCCAAGTTTATCATATCAGGTGTGTATAGCTGCTTTCGCGTACTAAATTCGGATTACCGTGAGCATATTCACTTCGCTGCGCCATATGCCCACTTGGTAAGTATGGTACGAAATCATAATACTTTTTTAAATACAAATATGTCGATGTGGCTTGTAAAGATGCTGCAGTTACTGTATTCAGACCAATGATTCTTAATGGGGTATCACAGTTATGAAGAAGTACGGCCTTGAGCCAATAGCTTTATACTCTTGCGTTTGTGATGGGCATATTCTGTGGCAGAGGCAACTCTAGCAGCGTAGGGACACTAATTGATTGATTGTGGAGATGAAGATATGCGATTTATATATAGGTATATTGAGTGAAGATGTTTAGTCCGTAGTAGATTCGCCTTCTCATTAAGAGCGGTAGTGAACTGACGAGTAAGCCCCATGGCCATGTCGTCGTTATTCTGATAACTGGTTGCCTGTAAAAGATATGCACTCTATCATATCATGTCTTCTTAGGAATTGTTTAGATACTCATTCAAACAGAATGGTCAAAAACCTTCCAACTCATTCGTTTGGATACACGTAGGGCAAAAAAGCACAAATCGCATCTCAAGATCCCGCTGTAGGGTAGCTCGGTGGCACATCTCATCTCAGCCACAGATCGATCTCAAAACGTTGCCCTCTCATCGTGGCGCACCAAAGACCCCACTACACCCAAAAAAACGTGGCCCCATCAACCTCCCTTGTGGCGCCCCGACCGCGGCGTGGCGCGAGCCCATCATGCGACATTCAAAACCGTGTCTGGAGTTGCAACCCAATCTCATGAAGCGGCAACCACTCACCAAAGGGGGCGGCTTCTCCCTGACCTGACATTCCACCATGGCGCGCCGGCAGCATCTCACAGCGTCCATCCTGTTGGTCGTCGTCCTGTTCCTCAGCTTCTCGTATTTCCTGTCCAGCCACGATGTGGACCGAATCCATGACTATGAGCCTGCGGCAGAGCCCAAGTCGGAATTCAAAGTGGACCTGGGTGGCATGCCAGCTAGTCTGCTCGACGGAGAGTCTATAGCCCCCAAGCTGGAGAATGCAACACTCAAGTACGTCTCTACATATTCATACATGTATACAGCTGACATCTGCTGCTGCTGTTCCCTCGCCATACAAGGACCACTCGTCTTCTAACACGCTTGCAACGAATAGGGCCGAGCTGGGTCGTGCAACATGGAAGTTCATGCACACAATGGTCGCCAGATTCCCCGAGGAGCCCTCGCCTGAAGAGCGCAAGACCCTCGAGACGTTCGTCTACCTCTTCAGCCGCCTATACCCCTGCGGCGACTGCGCGAGGCACTTCCGGGGCTTGCTGGCGAAATACCCTCCCCAGACGAGCAGCCGGAATGCGGCGGCCGGATGGCTGTGCTTTGTGCACAACCAGGTCAACGAGAGGTTGAAGAAGCCGATATTCGACTGCAACGACATTGGCGACTTTTACGACTGCGGCTGCGGAGATGAAGATAAGAAGAAGGGAGAGGGCAAGGAGGGGGGGAAGAAGGAGGAAGCTAAGGTTGGCACGGAACTGGTTAAAGAATAGACGGAATTAATTGTAATAAAGACTATCTAGAGGTAGATGTAGCAAACTATTTATAATGGATCTTATATCAAATAAAACAAAGCAACACTGCCGTCTATATTGCGGCTGGGTACTTGGTAACGATCAAATGAACAAGGCATCATCTTAATGGGGCATATAAGACAGCTGCAGTAACACCGCCCCGCCCCCAGCTTCAACGAAACATGATAAATGCTCACCGATGCCGATTTCAAGAGAAAACCACTATATTGCGCAACCCATCTCTTCAACTTGATCATTCTTGAATTGTTAGTGTTTCGTGCTTGATGGATGTCATTGTACCCAAATTCAATGTCACGTGCAAAATCATGTGCTAACACAAATTGTGGGGCGACGGCGCGGCTGCGCGTTCTCAGAGCTGCCTGAGCTTTGATGTGGCGGAATTGCTGGTTGAGCTCCAGCCTTCCCAGACAACCTCCGAACGACGACGAATCAACAGCACACGACTCTTGTTTTTGCACCGCTTACGGATTACCGCTGCTTCTACGACCATACACTGCAATTCATCTGCAATCATGGAGTTTGGCCGTGCTGGTGTGCTGAACGAAGGTACGACTGCGTAACCCTGTCCGGCATTCTGCCGATGACCCCTCGCTGACTTGAAGCTTGATGGACAATTAGATGGCATTCATGTCGATATGGACCGGTTGAAGAAGGGTGAAGTCAAGTGAGTCGATGCTTTCCGTACCGTCCAGATTGCTTTTACTGACTGATGCCAGCTTGGGTACTTCCATGTATGCTCCATGACCCCGCCGAAGCGACCCGTTGAATTGACCTGACGACATGATAGTATGGCTGTGACATTCAAGGATGGAGTTATCCTGGGTACGTGGGCATCGGTAGAGATGCACTGTCACGACTACCACCAGGAGAAAGCGCTGACCACGGGCCTGCAGGAGCTGATTCGAGAACAACGACCGGTGCCTACATTGCCAACCGAGTGACAGACAAGCTGACCCGAGTACACGACACCATCTGGTGCTGCCGATCCGGTTCGGCCGCCGACACACAGGCCGTTGCCGACATTGTACAGTACCAGCTGGGTCTCTTCTCCATGACCAGCGGCCGGCCTCCGATGACACAGACAGCGGCATCCATTTTCCAGGAGATTTGCTACGCCAACAAAGACCAGCTATCGTTAGTGACATGTCCATTTTCCTCGACTCATATCTGTTACAGACACTAACGCGGTGTAGAGCCGGTCTGATTATCGCGGGCTGGGACGAGAGATTCGGCGGCCAGGTGTACTCTATTCCCCTGGGAGGCTCATTGCACAAGCAGGCGTACGCAATCGGCGGTTCAGGATCGACATACATCTACGGATACTGTGATGCCAACTGGAAGGAGGGCATGGAGGAGGAAGAGGCAGTCTCGTTTGTCAAGGGAGCGCTAAGAGAGGCTATCAAATGGGACGGAAGCTCTGGCGGTGTCATTCGCATGGTGGTGTTGACCAAGAAGGGAGCCGACCGACACCTGTACCTACCGGATACAGACTACAAGGTGCGACAACAGTAGAGGATGGGCGATGACGGGACAAGTTGTAGCCGTGGGTTCACAATCCATGAGCTCTTTGCATGACAGCTTAGGTGAAGCACCCCCGCATGTGTCAACATTCGACAAGCCAGACTGGGACTTGGCTTAATAGAAACGAAACAAAGACGGCCAATTAAGTGCAGACTACCTTGCTAGATGTCGAGTTTAGTCAACGATGTAGGCGGCTAGGGCATGAAATGCCTCACTGGTATGCTAATGGCTAAATGAGAAGATGATTGAATCAACCTATTGCTATTTTGCAGAGTCGGGGTGTTTTGTTTTGTGCATGAGCGTGACGTTTGAAACAAGGTTACGGGGAGTGGGGATGGAGGCGGCCCGAGGCAGGATGAGACACAAGAGGAAGGGGATGAGGCTCATTGGGAGTTTGACGCTGGGTGATGTGTTTGCATTGCAGGATTATTGATTTGTATGGATGTATATGACGCAAAAAAAGCTAGACACGGACTGGGGACAACGGGCCGTTGGTAGGTAGTTTTTGTTGCGGGAGGAAAAACAGTTTGGAACTGTGAGGTTGGGATGTTGATGTTGACGCTTGACAAGTGACGTATGCCAGAAGAAGGCTGCTTATCCAGGCAAAGTTTCATATGATTAGACCTGTTGACCTATCCAAGGACTTTGCTGTAGGGTCATACGAGCACGCTCCATCTTTGGCACACTGGGGGTGGGAAGATGATGATGTACGATGAAATCAGTGATCTCGATGGATTTGCGAGGCTCAAAGTCGCAGCAGCTATAAAAACTACAACGTTTGAATGGCCAATTAACAAGAGTGGACCACGGCTGGACTTGACTTGACGGAAACTGATCTGCACACCACCCCACTGGCGCATCGCAAGGCCCCCCCTTGTGCGGCGAGTTTGACTGGGCTCTAGCAAAAGATGGAGGGCAGATCAGCGAGATTTAAGCATCTGAGCCAAGTCTTGGGAGGCGAACTATTTTTTCTTGGAGAAGAAACTGACGTAGAACCAACCCCTACGGAGTGCTTGGGGCTGGGATGGGCGAGGGGACGGCGTCATTTGGCAGTAGGAGAGGGAGGGGTCTGTATTACCTGTTTTTCTTCTTCCTTTTCTTTTCTTTTCTTTTCTCTGGCTTTGAGTTCAGCTCTGCATGTATTATGTGAGTCAAGGGTCATCCATGCCTGGTACTGGTATCTGGTGCTGCACAAGACGGCACGATGCATGAACAGCGGTATGAGAGTACAGGCATTTCTGAAGGTGCTGGTTGCAGCTTTCAGTGTTGCTGTGGCGCTTCAACTGCTGTGTGCCCGTGCTTTAGCCGCACGCAGAATACAACCTGGAAGACAAAAGAAAAAAAAAAAAAACTAGAGGGACCCTGGTTTTGGACCAGCCCACGTGCGGCATGTCTTGGCTGGGAGCGCAGCGATTCTGGAGGGGTCCGAGCCTGGGCCTATGAGATGCAGGGCAGAGGCAACGAAGCACGTACAAATCGGTAGGGCACGTTGGACGGGGGTTGGACAGCGCTGTAGTTGTTTGTTGTTGTTCGGCCTGTGAATTTTGATGAGGGTTAGATCCTTTTTGTTGGTGTTTTTTTACGTCTTCTTCTTGCTGCTTGGATGGCGAGCATGTATCTTACTGGTGTTTGCGGCAGTGACGGAACTTTACTTGTTCATGGATGTAAGCGAGCTGAGAGGGAATGAATGAATAAACGACAAGACGCAGCGAGTACTATCTTGAGCATCGATCGAATTAGTCGTCGTTCTTCAGGTGAATTACCGTAGTGGACACCCCATTGTTTCCCGCTCCCATGTTTGTTTTTTCTGAGCCCTGACCTGACCGAGGGTGGCCCCATTTCCCTTTGTTCTATTCTAACCTTGGTTTTTAATTCCTCTACTACCTTATACTCCGTGCCCGCTGCCTTTTGCTCATTCCAATACCTACTCGTACTCGGTCTGCTCTGCTGAGAGACAGGCTGAGATCGACCCCCAGAGATCCGAGCTCCGTCCCCATCGCCAGTTTGGCAAGCCGGCCATCTATTTGCCATCTGGTGGACGACATCTCCACCGCCAATCCCTCTTGTCATACGTCCTCGTACATATCCTCGTACATATACGCATACCTCACCTTACATATACCCAACACGGGCACATAGACTACTGGGTTGGCACGTCCGAGTCCGAGCAGGGCCGTTTCCCTTTGCTCCTTTGTCCTGTCCGTGTCGGTCACCCCCCCTTTTCTCTTTTCTCTCCTCTCTCCTCTTGCAGTTCTGTTCCCCCCCCCCCCCCCCTCTTTTCGGAACCCAGAAACGAGGCCAACGGCTGTCTATCCACGCCATCAGCGCTTCCTGCGAGCTTGACGAACGAGCTAGCTACCCCTAGTAGCTTATCTGGACGCCCCATAGCTATACAGATTGCTTCGCACGGAGCTGAGGCTGGCAAACTTCGTGGTTAATCAACGGTTTTTGCCTCGCGCGGAGAAGGCAAACCCTTGCTTGCGAGATCGATCCGATCGCGAGCTGAGTTGAGCCTTGCTCGTTCTGTTCCATCCTGGTCTCGCCGGCGTGCTTTTATGCTCTGCGCTGTGTCCCGATCAGTCGACGGTGATTTTTTTTTTGTTGGAGCCCAACCCCTCATACCTCGCTCTATTTTTATATATAAGATACGATAACTTGCATCTGCTATCTCTTATACACACACACACACACGCATACGCACATATTATATCATCCATATCATATCAAATAGCGAGCTTCCCCTTGAACTTGCCATCTAACCTCTCTTCCATCCACATAGACTGTGAGTTGTCTTTCCTTTCTACTATTCTGATCTATTCTTCTTGTTTCCCCCCAATCTCTTTTGCCTTTCTTCTTCTTTTCTCTTTTACCCTGCCCTCCCTGCTTCTGCCCCTCCTTCTCTCGCGCATTGCATGACCCCCGCTTTCATGAACATGAACCATTCAGTTGCATGGGGATTTTCCCGAGCTCAGGCACATGCCAGCAGTTAAAGCTTGCTTGCTCGCATCTGATGCCATGCCCATGCCTGCCTATCTCCGCCTAGCACAGTTGAGAAGCTCCATTGCCGTTGATGGCATTTGCCACCCACTGTGAGGTGTCGCTGAGCGGCGGCGCCACAGATGCGACGCCACCGGGGACCGGGCGAGTGCCATCGGGGTCGCCTTGAGGTTAGTGGAGGAAGCCGGCTGGAAGGGGCTGCTGTGCTCTGCCTGTTCGATTCATGTCATGAGTTGTTTCTGGGGACCCAAGGCATCAAATCGTCACCGGCCGGACGGAGGAGCGATGTCGGGGGGGTTTGGTCGATCCTGTCCGCTGTTGCTGTTGCTGGTGATGTTGATGATGTTGATGGCTGAGACCCATGGATGAACATGTTCAGCAAAATGAAAAAAAAAAACAAGAAAAAAAACAAGAAAAAAAACAAGACAAAGCAAAGCAAACAGCCTCATCAGCCACGCAAACAAACCCCTTGATGACAAGCGTCATCTCGCTGTTCCCCCCTCCATCCCTTCCGCCGCCTCCGGCTCTTTGTCGCGACCTCTCCATGGCTGCTCTGCCCGCTGAGTCGTCGACAATTGCATGTGGTCGAACCATTCTCCTCACTGGCTGCCCGCCAATCCCCACTGCCGATACCACTGTGGTCCCTAACCCGCTCCCTGCAGCAGCGCTTCTTCTCTGCCCGCCGCCGCTAAAGCAGCCTGTTGAGCTCCCTAACGCTGAACCTGAACCTATTGAAACCTCCAGCCCATCTCCCCTCCCCATTGCCTAGACTCAAACTTGCCTTTTCTCTCTCTTCTCTCTTCTCTCTTCCTCTTCTCCTCTTCCTCAACCTCAACTGCGCTTGTCGCAGCTGTATTTGTTCGAATCCTTCCTTAACGACTGCCCACGTCTCCTTTTTGCTAATTTTTAATGACTTGCCCTGCGCTTCTAGTTGGTCGCCCTTTTTAATATTCTTTTCCTTGTGCCTCTCCTTCCCACCTCTGCCGGTCGCTGCCGCATCTCCGCCCGCCCCCCAAACCAAATCTTCCTCCATCCATCAATCTCCATCCTCAACTCCAAGCGCGCGCGCTCTCGCTCTCCCCCCCCCCCCGGCCATACGACGCAATGGCAGCCGTCATCGGCGACTTTGTCCCTGACCTCTCGCGCTTCCACAGCATGATCTCCAGCTCTTCGACGTCGACGTCCTCCCTCCCACAGCGCTCAGATAGCCAGGCCCACGACTCGGCTGCCCCCTACCGTTCGTCCAGCCGGCACCGGTTGTCTGGCTCCGTGCCGCGGTCTCAGACACCAGCGTCAGACACCTCCAGCAGAGGAGCCAGGCCGGCGCAGCAGGGCCAGGCGCTGGCAGGACAGCCCGCATCGCGCGCGGCCTCTGGCGGAGCGTCGCGTTTCCCCTCGCCGCCGCCGTCGTCGTCCCCAGCAGCTGCCCCCGGCCCTGTCGCCGCCGACGATGCGAATCGTCCGTCCATGGCAACACAGATGGGAGACAGCGTCTCCGCGCCGGGCCTGCACCAGCAGCCCTCGTCCTCTAGCATAGCCGCGCCTCAGAACCAGCAGCCCTCTCCCGCCTCGGACGATTATCCGCTGCGAGCTGGCCCGCCCGGCTCGTACCTGGTTTCCAACGCCGAGGCCGCGGCCGCCCCCGAGCAGAATGTCATCCACATCCGGGACCTTGCTCACATAGAACAGCTCGCCCAGGCCGACCTGGCGGGCGCCGCCGACCTGGCGGGCGCCGCCGACCGCTCAGGCATCCTCCACGACCCGCCGCTGCACCAGACCAAGTACGAGATCAGCGCGATGCCCATTGCAGACGTCATCGAGATGGTGGCCGCCCTGCTGACCAAAATCACAACCACAAACGACCTGCAGCACGATGCCATGCAGCGCAACGTTGCCCACCAGCAGCAGGCCAACCAGACCGCGGACCCCCACGGGGGCTCCCAGATGAGTCCGCTCAGCCACTCGGTGCTTGCCTTCCACGGAAAGAACGTTCCGGCTATAACGATCCTGAGCTACCTCTCGCGAATCGACAAGTACTGCCCGACCACGTACGAGGTCTTCTTGAGCCTGCTGGTCTACTTTGATCGCATGACGGAGAGGGTCAACGACATGGTTTCTCGCACCGAGCGCAGCAGGCGATCGTCAACGTCGCGGACGCGAGGGTCGGCCTCGGTCGCGTCGCACGACACCCCGATGGGCGAGGCCTCCAGGAGTCCCGACGAGAGCGACGAGGACCTGGCCGACGACGACGATAGCGACGACGAGGTCATGGTGGACCCCCCGACCAGATTCGCTCGGGAGGCGGCCAGAAGCGCCGCGACGCACGTTCCCGAGCGCTCCCTCGGCCTGCCGACCCCGGCAACGTATTTCGTGGTGGACAGCTTCAACATCCACCGATTGATCATCGCCGGAGTAACTTGCTCAAGCAAGTTCTTCTCCGATGTCTTTTACACCAACTCGCGATACGCAAAGGTAAGAGCCAGAGACTGGTGCAGACTTGTGTAACAATGCGGTATTAATCTTTGGGTGATAGGTTGGTGGACTTCCTTTGCCCGAACTGAACCACCTGGAACTTCAATTCCTAGTGCTCAACGACTTCCGACTTGCCATTCCGGTGGAAGAGCTGGAGGCATATGCCACCATGCTGGTCGAGTTTTACGCCCGAGAGGTGGTGGCTCCTCGGAGTCGTCGCACGTAAACCCCCGGGGACCACAGCGAAATCCGTGGTGCCCAGATAGGAACCAAGTTGGCGAACCAGGAGCATGACGCAACGACAATCCATCTTTGTGACGGGCTCGGTGACATGGGCATAACCGTCACTGGACCTCAGTCGGCGCCACACGATGCTTCAAATTAAACCCTGCAATGCAACAACAAAGTATCGTGTAAAGCGTGAGCGCATTGGGAATACGTTTGTTTTCTTATCAAGGAGTGGCTGTGGCCAGCCTGACCCTGCAAGACCAGAACTACCTTGCGATCCCTGGAGGATGTTATATGGGCGGCCATCAGAACGATGAGAAAAGCCTCTTGGAGGCAAACCAAACACCACTCTGTCTTTCTTTTTCTTTTTCTTTTTCTTTTCTTGATCTAAAAGACACAAAATTTGGGTCATTATACCAGCGAACTTGAAGAGAGTAGGTGAGCACGCCGACGATGTCTTGAGCCGTCCAGCAAGACTACATGGACGAGACGTTTTCTTAATTGAGGGCGAGAAAGAGGGGGAAGCCGTGTGTGTGTGTGTGTATGGCATGCTAGCAAACGACTTTTTGGTTAGACCTGGGAGAAAGGCTGCATGGGCAGGCATGACATGGCAAGGGGGAGCTCTGATGGGATTGGCGAAATCATTGCAACGGCGCTGGGGTTTGTTAGGCCTTGGGATATTCTTTTTATTAACCTTGTTCTTATTTTCCTGTTCTTGTTCGTTTTGGAGGAATGGGGGACGGATGATGTTAAGAAGATTGCGCGGCGATGGGGATTTTTTTGGCATGCTAGATAGGTAGATTTTATGACGCACAATACGATACATTACGCTCTACTTGTCCTTAGCACATAACACGAAAAAGGATGATTGAGGATTTATAGATGGGTTTGGATGGCAATAGTGAGATTTTTGATTGAGAGAGATTTTGCAATCTGAAACCGTATATGACGCGTACCAGGCCGTGTAACAATAAAAAGCTCTATCTAGGTATATATATGTGTATATATAGTATTAAGGAAATTCGGTTCAATCGACTCATCGCTATAATGGGAACACACGCAAAAAAAACATGTAGAAGATTAAAGGAAATTAAAAAGAGAGAGGGAGAGGAGCAAAGGGAGGGGGGGTTATACAAGAATGATCAAATAAAGAAGGCAGAAAAAAGCAAAGACACCACTCTCTCTTATATCGAAAACGCCTCTTTTGCTCGATTGTTGTAAAAAAAAAAAAAAAGGATTGGAATTAGTGAGTGTAGGTTGTGGTTTGTTGTGGAAATGAAAAACTGTGTAAAAGAGGGAGGGTTTTGTTGTTGTATGTCGTGTATATGTGTGTTGTAAATGTTTTAGGTCCATGGATTTCCAAAAAGTCCCCGATGATATTAGGAAAGAAAAAGAAAACGAGTAAGTTTACCCCCGGTTTGCCGTTGTTTCCGTTTCTTTGGATTCCCCGTCGTTGCGCCGTCGTTGTTTTTTATGATCGTTGGAAAAGGCTGTTCCCTGCTCCCCTTTCCCCCCCGAGCCGAATCTTTCTTTTTGTTTCCCCTCCCTTGAGTGACAGTAGTAAGAGGTTTTCCTTCCTTTTTTTTTTGCCTTGGTTTTCTAGTTGAAATAGTCGTTTAGGAAGTTGCCGGAACCCCATTGCCTCGGATTTGACGTCGTTGCATCGATATTCTCCCGCTGCGGCGTCGAGTTGTTCGTCTCGTCAACCGCCCTCGGTGTCGTGGCCTCTCCGATCACGTCGCCCCTTTCCCACGTCTCCTCCGGAATCTCAAACGTCAAGTCGGCGTCCTTCATCTTGAGCCCAACCTGCCACCTGCCCAGCCAAGGCAGGAAGTTCTTGTGCCCACCGCAGGCCTCCCCCCCGGCGGGCTGGGCGACGTCGTACCAGCCGACGGAGCTGCTGGCGCAGTACTGCTTGGTGACGAGGCTGATCCAGCGGGAGGTGGCGGGCAGCTCGCCGTAGGAGCCGTTGCCGGCGGGCAGGGGCGGCATGACGAGGGTGGTGTTGAAGCCGAGGTGGTCGACCCAGCTGGTGGCGAAGGGGAAGCGCGGGACGAGGGTCATGGGCTTGAAGGTGGTGGCGAACAAGGGCCGGGGCGAGGGCTGGGACTCGTCGAGGTTGAGGGGATCGTCGTGGGGGAAGATTTGGATGGTGGTGGAGCCGTCGGGGTGGTGGTCCCAGACGAATTTGGCGAGGTGTTTGGGCGTGTTCCAGTCTTGAGAGAGAGTGTTAGTTGTGTGTATAACTTGGGAAGGGGGGGGGGGGGGGGGGGGGGGGAATATCATGGTTAAAAGGGGGAGGCCAAGGGGGGTTT